TATATATATATATATATATATATATATATATATATATATTTATATATATAATACATTATATTACATTTTCTATATATAAGACCTAAAATAATACGTTTATAATATACGTACTAATATAATAAGCTACATATATACGTTCTAATGTAGTACGATCTACATTCAGGATGTGGCTATAAAAACATGCTCACATTATGATGGGGGGAAAAATACACGTATTAAAAATATAAAAAACAAACATATATTATTATAAGCTCTTTAATGCACTAAAAATAAGATAATAAATTTGATTTGCTTTCTTTATTTAAAAAATCGGTCAGAAAATTTTTTCCGAGATCTCATGAGTAGACAATGCTGTTAATAACGAAAGTTTGAATTGTTTACTTGTTTTAGGGCATTTAAAAGCTTGTTACTATGAAGATTTTTTTATATTTGTTTTTTTTCTTACTTTTTATTAATTCATTCTTATGACATCAGAGCAAATGCGACTAAAAATATTTGCTTTAAACCCAGTGGCGTAGCTAGGATTTTTGGGCCCCTATGCAAAAAGAGTTAGTGGGCCCCTCAGAGGCGTAGCGACCCTTCCCGGCGACCGGGGACAAACTTTCGATATGCACCCCCCCCCCCTCAGACTTTCGATTTGCACCCCCCACCCTCAGACTTTCGATTTGCACCCCCCACCCTCAGACTTTCGATTTGCACCCCCCCTCCTCTCAAACTTTCGAAAAAGGGCCCCTATTTGCCTTGGGCCCCTATGCCTTGCTTACGCTAGCTTTACGGTAGCTACGCCACTGTTTAAACCCCGATCTGTAGCTTGAGGTCTCTAAAAGACAATTATCTGCTTCTTTTTCTTCCGTGGTCGACTGTCAGGCCAGAGCGATCGCTAGTTTTAATCTTGTAATCTCTGTTTTTGTTATTGAATGTGGTCAACTTTTAATTAGATTTTAATTACTAACCTTATGTCTAATTGGATTTAAAAATATATATGTTTGATTGTCATCGTTTGTTAAGCAAAATCGCTGCATTAGAAGTGAGTTGAGATTGAGTTAACACAAAACCACAAATAAGCAAACAAACAAACAGACATTTTGAACAGCTTAAGTAAATAACTTTACAATGACAAGACTATATCAGTATAAATTTTCATGGTTTTTTATTGTTTCAATTTTTTCAAAGACACTGAATTGTAATGTTGTGTTGCTGTTTTTTGTCAGCTGTTGTTAACTAATAGTTTAAGTACAGTTTGAGTCTAAAGTTACAAGTATTATAGTGACACCTAAATGAAATGTTATAAACAAAAGCTTGTTACACAACCATCAGTGCGTGATGCCGCTTCGTGTAAGCAATCGTGGTGATAAAACATTACCGTTAGAACGATTTGTTTTCATGAATACTTCATGGTCAGGTGAGCACAAAAAATCGTGGCTTTACTGTACTTGCCTGCCGGTAATCAAATAACGGACGGAGAGGTTTTTATCAGCAGGCTATAAAATAACGGACGGAGAGTTTTTTTTCCTACCGGCAATAAAATAACAGAGTTTTGTTTGCCGGAAATAAAATAATGGATGGAGAGTTTTGTTTGCCGGAAATAAAATAACGGATGGAGAGTTTTGTTTGCCGGAAATGAAATAACGAACAGAGAGTTTTGTTTGCCGGAAATAAAATAACGGATAGAGAGTTTTGTTTGCCGGAAATAAAAAAACGGATAGAGAGTTTTGTTTGCCGGAAATGAAATAACGAACAGAGAGTTTTGTTTGCCGGAAATAAAATAACGGATAGAGAGTTTTGTTTGCCGGAAATAAAATAACGGATAGAGAGTTTTGTTTTCCGGAAATAAAATAACGGATAGAGAGTTTTGTTTTCCGGAAATAAAATAACGGATGGAGAGTTTTGTTTGCCGGAAATAAAATAACGGATGGAGAGTTTTGTTTGCCGGAAATAAAATAACGGATGGAGAGTTTTGTTTGCCGGAAATAAAATAACGGATGGAGAGTTTTGTTTGCCGGAAATAAAATAACGGATGGAGAGTTTTGTTTGCCGGAAATAAAATAACGGATGGAGAGTTTTGTTTGCCGGAAATTAAATAATGAATGAAGAGGTTTTATCAGCCGGCTATAAAATAACTGAGAAGGTATTTTTTTTTAAACCGGCAATAAAATAACGGATGGAAGGTTTTTATTTTCCGGCTATGAAATAACGGACGGAAGGTTTTATCTGCCGGAAATAAAATAACAGACGAAGAGTTTTTGTCTGCTGGAAAATAAAATAACGGACGGAAGGTTTTATCTTCCGGAAAATAAAATAACGGACGGAAGGTTTTTGTCTGCCGTCAATAAAAACAAAAAACGGACGGAATCTGTGTCCGTATGATAAGCCTGATATGAACTGCTCATTAGGAAATCAAAAACCAAACACTAGCATTGATTTATTGGCCGCTGATTGCCTGACGTGTGTGTGTACCTGGGCAAGTTTCGTAATGGTAAACAATGTAAAGATCACGTGTCATCATTGACCCTTGTGGTACTAGTCATACCATGGTACTAGTCATACCACGGTACTAGTCATACCACGGTACTAGTCATACCACGATACTAGTTAAAACGTGTACTACACGGTACTAGTCATACCACGGTACTAGTCGTACCATGTTACTAGTCATACCACGGTACTAGTCATACCACGGTACTAGTCATACCACGGTACTAGTCATACCACGGTACTAGTCATACCACGATACTAGTTAAAACGTGTACTACACGGTACTAGTCATACCACGGTACTAGTCGTACCATGTTACTAGTCATACCACGGTACTAGTCATACCACGGTACTAGTCATACCACGGTACTAGTCATACCACGGTACTAGTCGTACCACGGTACTAGTCATACCACGGTACTAGTCGTACCACGGTACTAGTCATACCACGGTACTAGTCGTACCACGGTACTAGTCATACCACGGTACTAGTCGTACCACGTTACTAGTCATACCATGGTACTAGTCGTACCACGGTACTAGTCATACCACGGTACTAGTTAAAACGTGTACTACACGGTACTAGTCATACCACGGTACTAGTCGTACCATGTTACTAGTCATACCACGGTACTAGTCATACCACGGTACTAGTCATACCACGGTACTAGTCATACCACGGTACTAGTCGTACCACGGTACTAGTCATACCACGGTACTAGTCGTACCACGGTACTAGTCATACCACGGTACTAGTCGTACCACGGTACTAGTCATACCACGGTACTAGTTAAAACGTGTACTACACGGTACTAGTCATACCACGGTACTAGTCGTACCATGTTACTAGTCATACCACGGTACTAGTCATACCACGGTACTAGTCATACCACGGTACTAGTCATACCACGGTACTAGTCATACCACGGTACTAGTCATACCACGGTACTAGTCATACCACGGTACTAGTCATACCACGGTACTAGTCATACCACGGTACTAGTCATACTAAGGTACTAGTCATACCACGGTACTAGTCATACCACGGTACTAGTCATACCACGGTACTAGTCATACCAAGGTACTAGTCATACCACGGTACTAGTCATACCACGGTACTAGTCGTACCATGTTACTAGTCATACCACGGTACTAGTCATACCACGGTACTAGTCATACCACGGTACTAGTCATACCACGGTACTAGTCATACCACGGTACTAGTCGTACCATGTTACTAGTCATACCACGGTACTAGTCATACCATGGTACTAGTCATACCACGGTACTAGTCATACCACGGTACTAGTCATACCATGGTACTAGTCATACCACGGTACTAGTTATAACGTGTACTACACGGTACTAGTCATACCACGGTACTAGTTATAACGTGTACTACACGGTACTAGTCATACCACGGTACTAGTTGTACTACGGTACTAGTCATACCACTGTACTTGTCATACCACGGTACTAGTTGTACTACGGTACTAGTCATACCACTGTACTTGTCATACCACGGTACTAGTTGTACTACGGTACACGTCACTTCGAGCCGAATGACACACTAGCCGCATGATGTCAGTTAGTATCGAGACAGGTGTCTACAGCCACCTCCACGAAGGATCTTTTTAAAAAAATGGGTAACATTGTAGGTCCATTATAAGTAAACACATATTTTGCGTTTTATTTTCTTATATAAATTGTATCTCTACATAACATATTAGCTTAACCCCCCCCCCCCTCTTAAGAAAGTCTAGATTCTCTTATGGCTATTCCACAAGAAAATCTGGATTTCAAACTCTGGTCTTTAGTTTGCGACTCGACACTAAGGCCCTATATCTGACCCGCGAGGTGGTTTGCTGCTATCTTAATAAGGGGTGGGGCTGAGACACGGGTTGTGTGTATTGTTTGTGGCGTTGTCATGGTAACAACGCCAGGGTAAGACCAGGCTAACTAGACCAGAACGACCAATGACGTATGAGACGGGTGGGGCTAGATGCCACAAATGACTGTGTCACTGTGACTCCTGGAGTCTGTGTCACTGTGACTCCTGGAGTCTGCGTCATAGTGACTCCTTGAGTCTGTCTCACGGTGACTCCTGGAGTCTGTCTCACGGTGACTCCTGGAGTCTGTGTCACTGTGACTCCTGGAGTCTGTGTCACAGTGACTCCTAGAGTCTGCGTCATAGTGACTCCTTGAGTCTGTCTCACGGTGACTCCTGGAGTTTGTCTCACGGTGACTCCTGGAGTCTGCGGTCCTGGTGCTTTTGACCACAGGCGGCTGTGACTCAGGATGACTGTAACTCATGTTGACTCAGCCTCCGGGAAAGAGATGTGTGAATTAATTAAAACTTCACACATCGCACGCGAACAGATGTTGACATTTGCCTTTATGTTACCACATACAACACATTACTTCACTCTCTCATCTAACTTTGTTGTTTGTTTTTTCAGCCATGAAGCGATAATGTCCATTGACTTCCGACTTTGTCTAATGTTAGAGGAACGGCTACAACATTTGGAGTTGGAATATTTCAAATCACATTTTTTCTAATTGCTGTCATGTGATATAGATGTGGTATTGCTGTGATTCCCTAACCATGCAGGATGGTGAAATTTGATTGGATAAAAAATTCTACGTATTCTCTCACCAAATGTTTTCAGCTGTTCACTGATGGAGCTTTATCTGGCACAAACACCACACAAAACTTTTTCTTTGCTTTATCCAGTGTGGATGGAACATGGATAAACGTGGATTATCGAAATGACGTCAGTTCTGTGTGATGTAATTTCTCGTGACTTCCAATACTCCCTCTTTGTTTCTCTTTGTCTCTCAAGACTCTTTGTTCCTCTCTCCCCCATCTCTGACACACACATACAAAATCACACATTTCCACTCCTCAGCTCTGTGTGTGTTAACAACGTGATTTGATCAAAATTCTGGATTTACTGATATAATAACTCCATGGCCTGCAGGTGTAGTTGTGTTTGAAAGTTTGAGTATACTTGTAGTAGAAGCACGTCTTACTTTTAAATGATAAAATATGGTAGAAACAGAGACAGTGGAGTTTTATACATGGTGGATAAAGCATTTCTATTTTGTGTGAAGACAACTACCTTTTATACATGGCTGATAAAGCATTTCTAGTCTGTGTGAAGACAACGTAGTTTCAAACATGTCGGATGTCAAATTTCGAACCAACCAGCCTCCGAAACGTCTCTCTGTGCTGTCCAGCGGCCGTAAAGTCGGGGACTACGACCTGAACTTGGCCAGGACCTCGGACACGTCAGAGGACAATTTTGTCCTGACCAAGTCCCACAACAGCCACAGTGTGAGCAGTACCGACAGCCAAGGGAAGCTACTGCAGAGCACCTCGGTGATTAGCTCCCTGCACGCCCAAACCCTCTTCATCAACTTTGACAGGGACGACGAGCGAGTCTACAAAGCTTACTTTCGGCGTCAGAGACTCGGCGTCCTTCCGGTTTTGGTTGCCCTGGCGACGGTGCATGCTGTGTTGTGCGTCAGCCTTGACCTACTGCCCTACTATCGCGTGGACGTGCTGGACCGTCTAGTGGTCATCTCTGGTAGCGCGTGTTGTGTGGTGCTGCTGTTTGTGGTCATCCACTGTGTTGGGTTCCGTGACAGTATCACAGGTAGGGTTACCACGCTTACATTAATTACATGGGCTACTGTAAGGGGAAGAGTTAATTAGGTTAAGTTGTGTTTACCATTCTTATTCGGCAGTACAGAATCTAATAATATCAGAGTAAGGGTTAAGGTCATGTTAAGGGTCAGAACCTGGATCACAATCACCCAGTTTTTTTTCTTAACCAAAATATCAACACAACCATTCAACCAAGATATCAACACAATCGTTCAACGAAGCTATCAACACAACCATTCAACCATACTATCAACACAACCATTCAACCAAGATATGAACACAACCCTTCAACCATGCTATCAACACAACCATTCAACCAAACTATCAACACAACCATTCAACCAAAATATCAACACAACCATTCAACCAAGCTATCAACACAACAATTCAACCAAGATATCAATACAACCATTCAACCAAGATATCACCATAACCATTCAACCAAAATATCAACACAACCATTCAACCAAACTATCAACACAACCATTCAACCAAGATATCAACACAACCATTCAACCAAGATATCAACACAACCATTCAACCAAGATATCAACACAACCATTCAACCAAGATATCAACACAGCCATTCAACCAAGCTATCAACACAGCCATTCAACCATGCTATCAACACAACCATTCAACCAAGATATCAACACAACAATTCAACCAAGCTATCAACACAACCATTCAACCAAGCTATCAACACATCAATTCAACCAAGCTATCAACACAACAATTCAACCAAGCTATCAGCACATCAATTCAACCAAACTATCGACACAATCATTCAACCAAGATATCAATACAACTATTCAACTTAAATATCAACACAACCATTCAACCAAGCTATCAACACAACCATTCAACCAAGCTATCAACACAACCATTCAACCAAGTTATCAACACAACCATTTAACCAAGCTATCAACACAACAATTCAACCAAGCTATCAACACAACCATTCAACCAAGCTATCAACACAACCATTCAACAAAATATCAACACAACCATTCAACCAAGCTATCCACACAACCATTCACCCAAACTATAAACACACCCATTCAACCAAGCTATCCACACACCCATTCAACCAAGCTATCCACATAGCCATTCAACCAAGCTATCCACATAGCCATTCAACCAAGCTATCAACACAATCCATTCCCCTTTGCTGGTCTAGACGTTGAATGTTTTTGAGCAGCCGACTAGGAAATATGAACCCAGGGAACATCTGGTGCTGAATTAATTTCTGGATTAAGCACATAATTAACAGGTGTTTTAATCAAACAGTTGCACGCTCTGAGTGAGGGAGGGGTTGGTGGTGGTAGGGGCGTGGCGTAAAATTAATTCAACTCATTCTATACCTTATATTAAATTTAACTTAATTCCTTCTGTAACTCTACATGAGATTAGGCTAAATGTAATTCAGAACACTAATCCTCCCTTACCCTACCCTCCTCGCTCATTCCCATACCATAGAGCTATCACCTTCCCCCTACCCTCCCCACCTTACTGTACCCCTGTTACCTTCTCCTCATTCACCACATTTGCGCCTCTACTTCCCGATCCACCTCTTCTGCCCCTACCCCCACCTCCCTCCCCTTTCTCCAACTCACTCATGCCCATTAATTTCCAATTAGTTTCCGGCTTATCTTTAATCCGTTTTGTTGATTCTTAATACCAGCACATGTGGTAACCAGGATAAATAAACCATAATTGTTCTTTTCTTTCGTGGAAATTAGTTATTTTTTTAGAAACCGATGAGCTATAGATAGCTATGCTAATACCATAACATACGACAAACAATGACAAAAACAATGAACCATACAAGGAAGTGCCACCTATGTTGCTCATAATCAAATTGTAATTCCTCACCATTTGAGTTTTATTATCTACTGCCGACAGTTACGATAGAAAAAATTTTTTTTTAATCATCTTGGTCAAGATAAGCATGTTGCTGTATGGATATGGTATGGAGTAAACACATCAACTGCATATATAGTGAGGTGGTGAATGGTGGTGTTTAGTTATATAGTGGGGTGGTGAGTGGTGGTGTTTAGTTATATAGTGACGTGGTGAATGGTGGTGTTTAGTTATATAGTGAGGTGGTGTTTATTAACCCTTTCCCGACCCATCTATGTAAAACCTAACAATTGGGTAATTTAAGAAATTAACATGCAATAAAATCAATCAGCTTTGACAGCTACTTCATCAAACCATTCAAAAAAGCAGAAATTTATCATACAATAATTGTAGAGAATAAAGATCCTGGTAAGTAGCATTCAGACATGAGTTCGTATGGCGTCCTGGAGTCCACCCAGCTCTAATGTGTACCTTACTTACATTAGAGAAAGTCAAGACGGTATGGGTTAAAACTTACACTATACACGAGGTAACATAAACTGATGAACTCTACTTCATCTTCCCTGTTATTGCAAGGTTTGGGAGATAACGACACGACCTTTATACCTGTTCGACCATCTATAAATATAATAAGCCACTCCAAATTTACTTTCGTGTCATGTCACATGTGCATGATCCTAAAGATTAACAGATAATCCTGATCCTCTATGTCCAGAAACATTGGCCGTCGTCATGTGGGTCATCCTGACCTTCCAGATCTTCTATGACGTAGGCAGCACCTACCCCCACCACATGCCGTCCGACAGACTCGGCTGGCTGCTCGTGCATATCTTCATCACCCAGATGAGCATCCACGAGGGTGGGCGTGTGAGTGTCCCAGTGGTCTGTCTGTTGGTGCTCACACACTCGGTGCTGGTGGGCGTCTTGTGGTGCCAGACACGCTACCTGCCTGTGGCATTCGCTAACCAGGTGAGACACTCTAACCAGGTGAGACACGCTAACCAGGTGAGACACGCTAACCAGGTGAGACACGCTAACCAGGTGAGACACGCTAACCAGGTGAGACACGCTAACCAGGTGAGACACGCTACCTGCCTGTGGCATTCGCTAACCAGGTGAGACACTCTAACCAGGTGAGACACGCTAACCAGGTGAGACACGCTAACCAGGTGAGACACGCTAACCAGGTGAGACACGCTAACCAGGTGAGACACGCTAACCAGGTGAGACACGCTACCTGCCTGTGGCATTCGCTAACCAGGTGAGACACTCTAACCAGGTGAGACACGCTAACCAGGTGAGACACGCTAACCAGGTGAGACACGCTAACCAGGTGAGACACGCTAACCAGGTGAGACACGCTACCTGCCTGTGGCATTCGCTAACCAGGTGAGACACTCTAACCAGGTGAGACACGCTAACCAGGTGAGACACGCTAACCAGGTGAGACACGCTAACCAGGTGAGACACGCTAACCAGGTGAGACACGCTACCTGCCTGTGGCATTCGCTAACCAGGTGAGACACTCTAACCAGGTGAGACACGCTAACCAGGTGAGACACGCTAAACAGGTGAGACACGCTAACCAGGTGAGACACGCTAACCAGGTGAGACACGCTAACCAGGTGAGACACGCTAACCAGGTGAGACACGCTAACCAGGTGAGACACGCTAACCAGGTGAGACACGCTAACCAGGTGAGACACGCTAACCAGGTGAGACACGCTACCTGCCTGTGGCATTCGCTAACCAGGTGAGACACTCTAACCAGGTGAGACACGCTAACCAGGTGAGACACGCTAACCAGGTGAGACACGCTAACCACGTGAGACACGCTAACCAGGTGAGACACGCTAACCAGGTGAGACACGCTAACCAGGTGAGACACGCTAACCACGTGAGACACGCTAACCAGGTGAGACACGCTAACCAGGTGAGACACGCTAACCAGGTGAGACACTCTACCTGCCCGTAGCATTCACTAACCAGGTGAAACACTGAGCATTAAATGTCTTAACCAGCTGACCCAACCCAAGTCTCACTCATGAACAAGTGGAGAAAAAAAAACTTCTCTAGTTTCTGTATAACCACTTTATATCCGTAGGCTGCTTGTTTTGATACAAAACACTTTCAAATCGATTTTAATGTTTGCAAGTGTTTTTCTTGAATTAATAGACCTGAGTTGTTGTTGTTGGGTAGTTGAGTACTTGTGAAGGTGTTTTAAGTGATGTAGACACTTCGGTTAACTGATGTGAGAGCTTTTCAAATGTTTTTGTCATTGACTTGTGAGATTTTGTTTTGTACGGGTTGTATGGGTTGTGCGGGTTGTGTGGGTTGTGTGGGTTGTGTGGGTTGTGTGGGTTGTGTGGGTTGTGTGGGTTGTGTGGGTTGTGTGGGTTGTGTGGGTTGTGTGGGTTGTGTGGGTTGTGTGGGTTGTGTGGGTTGTGTGGGTTGTGCGGGTTGTGCGGGTTGTGCGGGTTGTGCGGGTTGTGCGGGTTGTGCGGGTTGTGCGGGTTGTGTGGGTTGTGTGGGTTGTGTGGGTTGTGTGGGTTGTGTGGGTTGTGTGGGTTGTGTGGGTTGTGCGGGTTGTGCGGGTTGTGCGGGTTGTGCGGGTTGTGCGGGTTGTGTGGGTTGTGTGGGTTGTGTGGGTTGTGTGGGTTGTGTGGGTTGTGTGGGTTGTGTGTGTTGTGTTGAAGTTTTGTAAGAACAGAAAGAGACCAAAGAATTGGCAATGACAAAAGAGATTCGGTTTTGCTGTTGTTGTTTTTTAGAAATGTGTCATTTCGGCTCTTTTTAATTCTATGAACTTTGATTTTTTTTTAAAATAATTTAAGTGTTGACCTATACTATTGTATCGTTTTAAGCCGTAATCTTATTATGGTATTGGTCTTTTACAGTACGTCTGAGTCATATTTATTTACACAGTTAATTACATCAACGTTCTGATATGCTTGTTTGTCTTATGATTGTCACAATGTTTTGTAATTGTCTGTATGATTTGTTTTACATACGTGACTATGTTTTATATGTACGTGTGTTGTGTTTTATATGTAACTGTATGATGTTTTATGTGTAGCTATGTTTTGTATGTGCCTATCAGTGACGTCGCTTTAATCACTGCTCACTTAATAGTAACGATGTTTATTTTTAGTCTGTTCATTAATAAAGTTTGATGTAACATTGTTTTCTCTAAAGTTAACAGGTTTATGTCATGGTGTCACCCCAACCCCCTTGTCATAATTGTCGAGTTGTGCTTAAAACTATTTAACTTTAATTAATCATTAATTGAATAGGCGAAAAAGCATTTTTCTTCTGTACATTTTGCAATTTTTTCGCCTTGGTGTCACCCATCTTAATGGTGACACCCGGTGCGGTCCACACACCCCGCCCCACCCTCGCTACGCCTATGGTGCCTAATAATGTTCTCTATGTGCCTGTATAATGTATTCTATGTGCCTGTATGATGTTTTCTATGTGCCTGTATGATGTTTTCTATTTTCCTATATGATGTTTTATATGAGCTTATATGGTGTTTTCTATGTGCCTGTATGATGTTTTCTATTTTCCTATATGATGTTTTATATGAGCTTATATGGTGTTTTCTATGTGCCTGTATGGTGTTTTCTATGTGCCTGTATGATGTTTTCTATGTGCCTGTATAATGTTTTCTATGTGCCTGTATGATGTTCTCTATGTCCCCAGATAGCCGCTAATGTCCTGATGTCCCTGGGGTCCGCCTGTATGGGGTTTGCTGGGGGTCTTTTCCTGGACAGGCTCAACCGACGCTCTGTGCTAGAGACTAAGTCAGCCATGAGCGCTAAGGCAAAGATTGAGTTGGCCTACAGGAACAAGGTGAGGGGGGTGGTGGAAGGTGGGGAGGGGAGGGGGTGAAATGTGGGGAGCGGGTGGAAGGTGGGGAGGGGAGGGGTGAAATGTGGGGAGGGGGTGGAAGGTGGGGAGGGGGTGGAAGGTGGGGAGGGGAGGGGGTGAAATGTGGGGAGGGGGTGGAAGGTGGGGAGGGGGTGGAAGGTGGGGAGGGGAGGGGGTGAAATGTGGGGAGCGGGTGGAAGGTGGGGAGGGGAGGGGTGAAATGTGGGGAGGGGGTGGAAGGTGGGGAGGGGGTGGAAGGTGGGGAGGGGAGGGGGTGAAATGTGGGGAGGGGGTGGAAGGTGGGTTAAGGTTGGGCATTAGTGAGAGGTTTTCCCATGGCCTTTCACAGTTAAAATACTCAGTGATATTGTAGTTGACCGATTCCGTCTCCTGTGGCGAACTATCGATTTTACGCCCCCCCCCCCCCTTCGAGGTTGGGTGCGCTTTTCAGTAGCCACTGTACCTTAAAAGTTTGTATTATGTCGTCACAAAAATTATCCTAAACAGTCAAATAATTCAGGTAAGCAAACCAGTAGTCAATATTCTTATATTTCAATTTGTACAACTCAGTAATACAAAACTATTCAGTAATACAACTGAGAATCATCTTTTAATATTTTTTACTACCCCATTTGGCGCCCCCCGCCTAGATTCGGCGCCTGGGGCGGCCGCCCCCACCTGCCGTTCCTTAACTACGCCTATAAATAGTCGTACATCACCTATGAAAAGACAAGAGTGTTGTCCTCTTTGCGTCTTTGCTTTCAGATTTAACGGAGGGGGGGGGGGGTACAGTGAGGCAGTGGCAGGACCTTAACTGTACGGCCCGGGGAGGGGGGACAGTGAGGCAGTGGCTTGACCACAAAATTGAAAATTTTTAACACCCATTAACTTAATTAATTTACTGTTTTTTTAAGTCCAATAACTCTTCATTGAAACAGCCAAGCTATTTGTAGTTCCCCCCCCCCTAATATCAACATTCAGCTGAAACTTAATACAACCCTCCAGGGACTTCGAACTTTTATATCTCAAACATAAAACACAAGTACCTTTGTAATCTCCCCACTGCTAATGTTGCTAATGGCGCCTTGCCTGTACAGGAGCGACTTCTGCTGTCAGTGCTGCCCAAATGTGTGGCAGACGAGATGCTCAAGGACGTGGGGAATCTGGCAGACGGACAGTTCAGGAAGATCTACATGAGCAGATATGAGAACGTCAGGTGAGTCGCACCTAAGTTTACTCTCTCGGTATATGTGTGATCACTAGCTACCTGTGGTTGTGAGACTGTAGACAGAACAAAAATATAAGTGAGACTTTAGACAGAACAAAAATATAAGTAAGACTTGTAGACAGAACAAGAACTAAAACACAAGTGAGACTGTAGGACCTACCCTAAGACATATCTGCAAGTGTTATGAGTCTGCCCCCAGGCAATCAATAGAGTTGATTAACGTCGTCAGCCCGTCGACCGGATGTTTACAGGCAGATTGTGGCCTGCGGATAACTTTAATCACTCCATGCACATTTTTTTGTCTCGTTTCTTAACGGCACTCATTTTTTTAATGGTCTGAGATTTTTGTTGGTCAACGGTAATAATGAATGACAGTTAGTCAACGGTAATAAGAATGACAGTCAACGGTAATAACGAATGCCCGGATGTCAGCTTTAAAAATGGCCGCCGCGAGTCAACTACTTTCCCATTGACGATGGTGTACTATTAGTGAACGACTTACCCAGAAATGGCTGAGTAAAACTTTTGTCAAGATTTACATATAACCATTTAGAAACAGACTCATCACGTTATAATATTGGCCTGTTAAAAGAACAGAGTCCTTGACGAAATCTGTCGACTAAAGTGTGAAGTCTTTTGTAAAATTAGAATCACATAATGTCTTTAAATTATCATGTTGAGTTCGTCTTTGGTATTTGTCAGCTGTATCGGTGTAGGGTACGACTAGATATTGTATGGTGGTGGTGGTGGTGGTCCAAACAAGCTTACAAAACTAGTTACCTTTCTGTATTGCAGCATTCTGTATGCTAATTAACCTTTATTATTGCAGCTTCCTGTAAGCTATATAACCTGTACTATTGTAGCATACTGTATGCTATATAAAATACTGTATTGCAGCATAATGTATGTTATATAACATGCTGTATTGCAGCATACTGTATGATATATAACCTGTACTATTGCAGCATACTGTATGCTATATAACCTGTACTATTGCAGCATACTGTATGCTATATAACCTGTACTATTGCAGCATACTGTATGCTATATAACCTGTACTATTGCAGCATAATGTATGCTATATAACCTGTACTATTACAGCATACTGTATGCTATATAACCTGTACTATTGCAGCATACTGTATGATATATAACCTGTACTATTGCAGCATACTGTATGCTATAGAACCTGTACTATTGCAGCATACTGTATGCTATATAAACTGTACTATTGCAGCATACTGTATGCTATATAACCTGTACTATTGCAGCATACTGTATGCTATATAACCTGTACTATTACAGCATCCTGTATGCTTTAGAACCTGTACTAATGCAGCATCCTGTTTGCTATATACCCTCATGTATTGCAGCATCCTGTATGTTATATACCCTCATGTATTGCAGCATCCTGTATGCTCTATAACCTGTACTATTGCAGCATCCTGTATGCTCTATAACCTGTACTATTGCAGCATCCTGTATGCTATTCAACCTGTACTATTGCAGCACACTGTATGCTATTCAACATGTACTATTGCAGCATACTGTATGCTATATATCATCATGTATTGCAGCATCCTGTTTGCTGATATCGTTGGCTTTACAGCCATCTCCTCTACCGTGACAGCCGCTGAACTGGTCAAGATTTTAAATGAACTCTTCGCTAGTTTTGATGTACTGGCCAATGTAAGTGCTGGGTTTACTTGTATGTGGATGTATGTATGTGTATGTATGTGTATATATGTGTATGTGTATATATGTGTATGTATGTCTATGTGTTCTATTTATGTCTATGTATGTCTATGTACGTCTATGTGTTCTATTTATGTCTATGTATGTCTATGTATGTCTATGTATGTCTATGTATGTCTATGTATGTCTATGTATGTCTATGTATGTCTATGTATGTCTATGTATGTTTATGTATGTACAAGAGCCAGTTAGATGTTCCGTATATGTACGTGTGATGTTTGTATGTGCTTGTATGATGTTTTATATATGCCAGTATGTCTTGTAAAGAAGAACCTTTACATTCATTGATTAAATTCACTATCCACAAAGTCAAAACCTTTTAATGGACCAAACTATACACTTCTTTAAAATCATCCGAAGTCATTAGTTTTTACTTTAATTAATCTTTTCACTCAGTTAACCCTTGACCTCTCAAATCCTATGACTTGCCGTTAATCCGATCAATGGAAGACAGTTGAATTGTGTCAGATTTTGGGGAATCTCTTAGTCTTAGCAGAACTCAAGCAAAAAAAAATCAATTTGTACAAATCGATTAAGTCTTTGGAGATGTTGACGTGGTTTTAAAGCCGAGAAGTTATCCCCCTTGTGTTTTAAAGTTGAGAAGTTATCCCCCTTGTGTGTTGAGTGAAAGGTACTAGGCAAGTGGAAACCCGCGTGACTCTCTCTAATGGGCGACCTCTATCTACGTCATGCTGGCTGGCCAGATTTTTCAAACTACACAGGCCAAAATGTTCACTTATTACATGAAAAATACTTTTTTTTTCATCAATTTACATACTATATAGAGTGATTTTAATGAGACTTACAATTTCAACGATTTATAATTAAACATAGCAATTTATCAATTATTTATAATAAGACATAACAGGTAAAAAACGTTACCTAAAAATAACTCACGGTTTAATTAATTCGAATTTTAATTAAAACCAAGAGGGTTAACTCTGATTACTGTCATGTGTCATGTTCTCGCTTCTGTTGTTTTATTGATTTAGTTTTGTGTTTATATAGTGTGTCCTCCACGCTTTCACTTCTGTCCTCCAGCACTCACTCCTCCACTCTTCCACCCCCTATTTATGTCCTCCACCACTCCACCCATCCACTCATATCCTCCACCACTCATGTCCTCCACCACTCATGTCCTCCACCACTCATGTCCTCCACCACTCATGTCCTCCACCACTCCACCACTCATGTCCTCCACCACTCATGTCCTCCACCACTCATGTCCTCCACCACTCATGTCCTCCACCACTCATGTCCTCCACCACTCATGTCCTCCACCACTCCACCACTCCACCACTCATGTCCTCCACCACTCCACCACTCCACCACTCATGTCCTCCACCACTCATATCCTCCACCACTCATGTCCTCCACCACTCCACCACTCATGTCCTCCACCACTCATGTCCTCCACCACTCATGTCCTCCACCACTCCACCACTCCACCACTCATGTCCTCCACCACTCATGTCCTCCACCACTCATGTCCTCCACCACTCATGTCCTCCACCACTCCACCACTCATGTCCTCCACCACTCATATCCTCCACCACTCATGTCCTCCACCACTCCACCACTCATGTCCTCCACCACTCCACCACTCATGTCCTCCACCACTCCACCACTCATGTCCTCCACCACTCATGTCCTCGACCACTCATGTCCTCCACCACTCATGTCCTCCACCACTCATGTCCTCCACCACTCATGTCCTCCACCACTCATGTCCTCCACCACTCCACCAATCCACCACTCATGTCCTCCACCACTCCACCACTCATGTCCTCCACCACTCATGTCCTCCACCACTCATGTCTTCCACCACTCATGTCCTCCACCACTCCACCACTCCACCACTCATGTCCTCCACCACTCCACCACTCATGTCCTCCACCACTCATGTCCTCCACCACTCATATCCTCCACCACTCCACCCCTCCACTCATATCTTCCACCACTCCACCACACCTGTCCTCCACCACTCAAGTCCTCCACCACTCATGTCCTCCACCACTCATGTCCTCCACCACTCCACCACTCCACCACTCATGTCCTCCACCACTCATGTCCTCCACCACTCATATCCTCCACCACTCCACCCCTCCACTCATATCTTCCACCACTCCACCACACCTGTCCTCCACCACTCAAGTCCTCCACCACTCATGTCCTCCACCACTCATGTCCTCCACCACTCATGTCCTCCATAACTCCACCCCTCCACTCATATCCTCCGCCACTCCACCACTCCACCTATCCACTCCTGTCCTCCACCCCTCCACTCCTGTCCTCCCCAGAAGTTCCACCAGGTCCGTATCAAGATTCTAGGCGACTGCTACTACTGTGTGTGTGGCGCCCTCGAACCTAGACCTGACCACGCCGTGTTGGCGATACACATGGGGCTCAGTATGGTGGACGCTATCAGGTAGAGTCATCTCGCTAGTTAGTGGAGTCAGTAGAGTCATCTCGCGTGGTAGGAGAGTCAGTAGAGTCATATCGCTAGTTAGTGGAGTCATCTCGCTACTTAGAGGAATCAGTAGAGTCATCTCGCTAGTTAGGGGAGTCAGTAGAGTCAAACTCGCTAGTTAGGGGAGTCAGTATGGTGGACGCCATCAGGTAGAGTCATCTCGCTAGTTAGGGGAGTCAGTAGAGTCATATCGCTAGTTAGTGGAGTCATCTCGCTACTTAGAGGAATCAGTAGAGTCATCTCGCTAGTTAGGGGAGTCAGTATGGTGGACGCCATCAGGTAGAGTCATCTCGCTAGTTAGTGGAGTCAGTAGAGTCATCTCACTAGTTAGGGGAGTCAGTAGAGTCATCTCACTAGTTAGTGGAGTCAGTAGAGTCATCTCACTAGTTAGTGGAGTCAGTAGAGTCATCTCGCTAGTTATGGGAGTCATTATGGTGGACGCCATCAGGTAGAATCATCTCGCTAGTTAGAAGAGTCAGTAACCTCGCTGGTTAGGTAAGTGTGGTGGACGCCAGCAGGTAAAGTCATCTCGCTAGTTAGGGGAGTAAGTAGAGTCATCTTGCTAGTTAGAGGAGTCAGTGGAGTCATCTCGCTAGTTAGAGGAGTCAGTGGAGTCATCTCGCTACTTAGGGGAGTCAGTAGAGTCATATCGCTAGTTAAAGAGTCAGCACGGTAGTGTCCACTTGCTTGCTAGGGGAGGTAGACTGGAGTTGTCTCGGTTGATTAGAGATATACCTGGGTTACCTCGCTTTCTAGGAATGATGTGGTGGTTGTTTTTGTTTGTTTTTTGTTTGTTTTTTTAATTCCACCCTAGCATTTTTAATTCTATGACTTTCTATCCTGGCATTTTTCTTGTTCACCGCTTTAGTGCCGTGCGCCAAAAGACGGGCAAGGACGTGAACATGAGGGTCGGGGTCCACACAGGGGCGTGCCTGGGTGGGGTGCTGGGGCAGCGCCAGTGGCAGTTTGATGTCCTGGGGAAGGAGGTCACACTGGCCAACAAGATGGAGAGCGGCGGGCTACCAGCGTAAGTCGAGATTTGTGTGGTCAGGTTTTGGGCTACCAGCGTAAGTCGGGATTTGTGTGGTCAGGTTTTGAGCTACCAGCGTAAGTCAGGATTTGTGTGGCCAGGTTTTGGGCTACCAGCGTAAGTCAGGATTTGTGTGGCCAGGTTTTGGGCTACCAGCGTAAGTCAGGATTTGTGTGGTCAGGTTTTGGGCTACCAGCGTAAGTCAGGATTTGTGTGGCCAGGTTTTGGGCTACCAGCGTAAGTCAGGATTTGTGTGGCCAGGTTTTGGGCTACCAGCGTAAGTCAGGATTTGTGTGGTCAGGTTTTGGGCTACCAGCGTATGTCAGGATTTGTGTGGACAGGTTTCTCTCGTTACTCAAGTTAAAAAAAATGTCATATTTGTTTTACTAAAGACCTGCCATTGTCATAATTTAAATAAAATATCTGAAAATTTGATTTTAAAAACCGAAGTATCAAACCAAAAGTTACATTAACAAATTATTTTTATTATTTTTAAAAGTATTTCTAAAATGTATGTATACTGAATGTACACTTATGTTTTTTAAAGAGTGCTAATTTAGCATATGAATTAATTGCATTTAATATTTTTATCAACAAAATCCGAAGTTTGAAATCGTACAGTCAATTTTTGACATTTCTCCTTAGAAAAATCTGTCCACTAACACGGTATGTCGTAACTTCCTGTTTCAGGCGTGTCCACATCTCCGAGGCGACCAGAGCGTGTCTGAACGGGGAGTTTGAGCTGGAGGAGGGTCACGGGGAGGAGAGGGAGGAGGAGCTGAGGCTCAAGAATGTCAGGACGTACCTGGTCAAGTCAGTGCTCAAACCTGTAGGTTTCATTGGTCAGATACACAAACCTGTAGGTTTCATTGGTCAGATACACAAACCTGTAGGTTTCATTGGTCAGATACACAAACCTGTAGGTTTCATTGGTCAGATAAACTGGTCAAGGCAGTGCTCAAACCTGTAGGTGTCGCTAGTTCACTGGTCAGATAGACTGGTCAAATGTTGGTCAAACCTGTAGGTTTCATTGGTCAGATAAACTGGTCAAGGCAGTGCTCAAACCTGTAGGTGTCGCTAGTTCACTGGTCAGATAGACTGGTCAAATGTTGGTCAAACCTGTAGGTTTCATTGGTCAGATACATTGGTCTAATGTTGGCCAAACTAATAGATATTTACCATATTAATTGGTCAGTAAAACAGATAGAGCCTGAGAGAGCTTTGTGAAATATTTTGTTGAAACAATCCTAACTGGTGTTGTGTGATGTAGCCCGCTCCAACACACAGATTTTTCTTGTCTTTAGTATATCTGTAACACAAGCTGAAACCACTAGTTGTATGTTGGTTCAGGTTTAACTATCAACTATTTTTTGAGGAATCAAATGTTAATGAGTTACTAGTTTTTATAACTTACGTATTGAGAGAGCTAATTGTAACGATATAATCATGCACCTCCCCATTTCATCTCTCCCACAGTACCCAGAAGGCACCCTGGACATGCCGACCACCCCCACCAGACAAACCAGCAACGGTTTCCATAGAAACAAGAGAAGTTCCAGCCAGTCACAGACCGAGCAGGGTGACGAGGCTGATCGAGACGAGGCTGACGGTGACCCCGTGGGGAGCGGAGAAGAAGAATACAAGAAGGAGTTCAGCCTCAAGCTACAGCGGGAGTTGTTGGCTAAGGAGAGAGATAGGTATAGTACACGCTGGTTTGGTTGGTTTGTTGGGATAGGTAGAGTACACGCTGGTTTGGTTGGTTTGTTGGGATAGGTAGAGTACACGCTGGTTTGAGTGTTTGTTTGTTTTCATCATTTTGACTAAACGTGTTCGTCAATTTAAATAATGAGAAAGGTGTGACGCAAGAGATATATCACACACATGAGCGTGTCAACATTGACAAACTAAAGTTTAGATCCCGGGTCCCCAACTTATGATTTTCTGAAGATCACCAACGTAAACAAGAAAAATATTTACTACAAGCCGACCCGCGGCGTAGCATACGCCGCTATTTAGTGAGGGGTGAAGACTTCCTGAAAGACACAGTTGTCCAATTGGGGTGGGATACGAGGGAGGGGGGGGGGAGGAGAGCAGAGGCGTAGCGACCCTTCCCGGCGCCCGGGGACAAACTTTCGATTTGCACCCCCCCCCCTCAAACTTTTCATTTGCACCCCACCCCCCTCAACCTTTCGATTTACACCCATCCCCCTTCGAACTTTTCAATTGCACCCCCCTCAAACTTTCAATTTGGCGCCCCCCCCCCTAAGGTCGGCGCCCGGGGACATATGCCCCCCCCCCCCGCTACGCCTCTGGAGGGGGGTTAGAGAGTCGGCGTGCGTGCGTGGTGTCCCGCATGGTTGGGCGACGTAGAGAAATATATATACACAACATAATTTTGATTTGTAAAATGCTGTTAATTCAATAGTATCGGGGTCACGGGTCACTTGGTTGTCATAAAAAGGGGTCTCTACCCAAATAAAGGTTGAGAACCTGTTTAGACCATTTGTGAACGTCATTTCTAGACTCCTAAATGAAAACTATATATTTGGCCTATTTTTTACTGTTTTGTTATCCACAGTAAACTATTGGAAATATTTCAACCTTTGACCTTGAACTTCAAGGACAAAGCTCTAGAGGTCAGGTTCCAACAGAGGTCAGACAGCTACAGTGGCCTTCCAGTGGTGGCCCTTAGTGTGGCCCTGGTCCTCATGTTCGTGGCCAAACTATGTATTTCACCCAGGTCAGTTGGCCATGAGATTGGACAGTTATAGGTAAAACACCTATGACTGTTTGCCTATAATTTTGGTCAGTCAGAGGTAGAGATTAACGTAATGCTAAAACAGACATTTTAACGCTGAAGATTAGCTCAGCACGTACAAACATATTGAACACAAACTTTTAACGCTAGAGATGAACATAGGTATGACATTCTATATGCTGCTCTAGCACCAACATAGGTATGACATTCTCTATGCTGCCATAGCACCAACACAGGTATGACATTCTCTATGCTGCCATAGCACCAACCTAGGTATGACATTCTCTATGTTGACATAGCACCAACACAGGTATGACATTCTCTATGCTGCCATAGCACCAACATAGGTATGACATTCTCTATGCTGCCATAGCACCAACATAGGTATGACATTCTCTATGCTGCCATAGCACCAACATAGGTATGACATTCTCTATGCTGCCATAGCACCAACATGGGTATGACATTCTCTATGCTGCCATAGCACCAACACAGGTATGACATTTTTTATGCTGCCACCTGCCATAGCACCAACACAGGTATGACATTCTCTATGCTGCCATAGCACCAACATAGGTATGACATTCTCTATGCTGCCATAGCACCAACATAGGTATGACATTCTCTATGCTGCCATAGCACCAACATAGGTATGACATTCTCTATGCTGCCATAGCACCAACATAGGTATGACATTCTCTATGCTGCCATAGCACCAACACAGGTATGACTTCTGTATGCTGCCATAGCACCAACACAGGTATGACATTCTCTATGCTGCCATAGCACCAACATAGGCATGACATTCTCTATGCTGCCATAGCACCAACATAGGTATGACATTCTCTATGCTGCCATAGCACCAACACAGGTATGACATTCTCTATGCTGCCATAGCACCAACACAGGTATGACATTCTCTATGCTGCCATAGCACCAACATAGGCATGACATTCTCTATGCTGCCATAGCACCAACACAGGTATGACATTCTCTATGCTGCCATAGCACAAACACAGGTATGACATTCTCTATGCTGCCATAGCACCAACATAGGTATGACATTCTCTATGCTGCCATAGCACCAACATAGGCATGACATTCTCTATGCTGCCATAGCACCAACACAGGTATGACATTCTCTATGCTGCCATAGCACCAACATAGGCATGACATTCTCTATGCTGCCATAGCACCAACACAGGTATGACATTCTCTATGCTGCCATAGCACCAACACAGGCATGACATTCTCTATGCTGCCATAGCACCAACACAGGTATGACATTCTCTATGCTGCCATAGCACAAACACAGGTATGACATTCTCTATGCTGCCATAGCACCAACATAGGTATGACATTCTCTATGCTGCCATAGCACCAACATAGGCATGACATTCTCTATGCTGCCATAGCACCAACATAGGTATGACATTCGCTATGCTGCCATAGCACCAACATAGGTATGACATCCTGTATGCTGACATAGCACCAACATAGGTATGACATTCTGTATGCTGCCACCTGGTTTCTCCACAGAACTCTGACGACGGTTCTCATCTACCTGGGTGGCGTCATCATCTTAGCAGCCATGGGCGTTGTTTCAATGGCCTTCACCTTCGCTCAGGTAAATATTTTAGAGTCTGTTACTGGCTCCACGTAGTCCATACAGTATCATGTTGTGGGTTAATGTGGTCGCGTCGTAGAGCACACACCTACTTACCCGGAAGTCCAGGGTTCGAGTCCATATGACGCCGTTGAGTCCACCCAGGTCTGATGGTTACCAACTGGGAGCGGAATGTGAAGGCGACGGGGCATTGTGCTGTCCTCATAATGTCCTCATAATGTCCTCATAATGTCCTCATAATGTCCTCATAATGTCCTCATAATTTCCTCATAATGTCCTCATAATGTCCTCATAATGTCCTCATAATGTCCTCATAATGTCCTCATAATGTCCTCATAATGTCCTCATAATGTCCTCATAATGTCCTCATAATGTCCTCATAAGTAGTATATTAGGTCCCTTTTGGAGCGAATTTGGGTGGCGCAAAGGATATATAGGAAAATACTCACCCAGCCTGGGACAATGACATATAACAAAATACTCCCTAGGGTGGCGCAAAGACATATAGCAAAATACTCGCAGGGTGAAGGGTAAGGCGCAGGGTGAAGAGGGTGGCGCAGGGTGGCGCAGCACCCTGGGACAATGAGATATAATAAAATACTCGCAGGGTGAAGGGTGAGTGGCGCAGGGTGGCGCACCAGCCTGGGACAATGACATATAATAAAATACTCGCAGGGTGAAGGGTGAGTGGCGCAGGGTGGACCTAGTTACGTAATTTTAATGCGTTTTTAATGAGTTTTTAAATTTTTAATTAATTTTTATTATCGAGTTACGTAATTTAATTACTTTGTTTGTATTTTGTTTTTTAAATTTTAATTAATTTTAGTTTGATTTAATTAGTTTGAATTTAATTTTTAAATTTTAATTAGTTTTTTAATTAGTTACATAATTTAATTATTTGTTTGATTTTAATGAATTTAAATACTTTGTTTATTTATTTTGTTTTGTAATTTTTATTGACGAGTTACGTAATTGGATTATTTGTTTGATTTTAATTAATTTGATTTTAATTACTTTGTTTATATTGTGTAATTTTTATTAACGAGTTACGTAATTTGATTATTTGTTTACTTTTTTAATTGTTTAATTTGTTGTTTACTTGTTGTTTAATTTAATTACTTTGTATAATTTATTTGTTTGAAATTCATTTTAATTAGTTTGCTGTTAATTATTGGCGATAGATGTTACCAAGCGGGTGGTGGTGGTGGTGGTGGTGGTGGTGGTGGTAAATTTGCTTAAGATTATAAACTTCAAGTTTTAAAAATCAACAACGTTATGGACCATTCAGCAACACAACGAACGGTTACCGAAAATAGAACATCCATTTAACTACATCTGTTACTTAGCGATCCGTGATCCTTTGTTGACACGCGCTGCGCTTTTAATGGGAATGTATTGATCGCACCCACGGAGCCATCGGGACAACGGGCGCGTTAATATTGATTCCACACACAGCCATCAAATGATGGTCCGCCTAATTAATTTGGTCATGCATCGTGGGTTTATGTCGACTACAAACATCCATTAGAGACACCTGTTACTCGCTATCGATCCACATGCGATCCTTTGTTCTTGTCAACCACCGTACAAGGGCCAAGTTAATATTGATCGAACCCACTGACCATCAGTATGAGGGTCCACGTCATGTGTAATTTTTATTAACGAGTTACGTAATTTGATTTTAATTTTTTAAATTTTTAAATTTTTTAATTTAATTTTATAATTAGTTTAATTATTATTAACGAGTTACGTAATTTGATTTTAATTTTTTAACTTTTTAAATTTTTTAAATTATTATTTTTAAATTTTATTTTTAATTGTTGTTTACTTGTTGTTTAATTTAATTACTTTGTATAATTTATTTGTTTGAAATTCATTTTAATTAGTTTGCTTTTAATTTCTTTGTTGTACGCCGTTTGAAATAAAAGACTAACACTAGCGTGTACTAGAAAGTGTCATTGTGTATAACATCCATTTAACCACAGCTGTTACTTATTAGCGACAGCTTGTACTTATCGATCCGCCCGTAATCCTCCCAGGCGCTCCCCGTGGTTGCTTAATAGCGGGCTCACTGAAGCGATCACAACAGGTAATTAATCGAAGCCATTAAGTCCCTCTCCGCGTTAAGTGTGGCGACAGCTGGTGCTGTAATTAGTCACGGCTCTCGGCTTTTTTCATTAGACTACAGCTGTACATGAACTATGTTCACATATCGTACGCCCGGTCATTCTTTGATCAAATTAAAAAAAAAAAAAAAAAAAAAATTTGTATCCACATGTCATGCGAACCGTCCCTTGCTATGTATGAAAGATTAATGGTTGTAACTATTCGCTTATAGCGAGGGTCAGCGAAAACAAAAATATATTTAAGGGTCGGAATTTTCTTTCAACCACCGTTAAGTCAGGTTTTGAGACGAAACGAAATCTCGGTAGGTTCGTGTTTTTTAATGGGCGACAGGGCGACTTGATGCGTTGGTACGTAGGTATGCGGGGTAGACATGTTTTTTACAAGTCTGGAAAAGTAATTACGTTTTTTATGACCGTTCCGATTTTCTTTTGATCTGACCACCATTTGACCACACTGAGCCAGATAAATTTAACAATTGTCGCAGCGGGGTTTATTTTAAGTGCACCCCGTGCACGCTTGTTTACATTTTAAAAGACGTGTCGCGTGTCTTCCCCTTACGGCTTCCCTAATAGAGAAACGAGAGGAAAGACAACTGTTCTAAAATTAGAACAACCTTGTCTACAGACACGAGTATCGTCCCTTGTGAAAAAATTCGCGTCAGAATCCTTAACTAAACAGTCAATTTCTTTAAAAAGTTAAAAAATAATTTAGGAAGACAAGGGTTAACAAAATATATATCTTAGTCTTGCAGCAGATTACCTTCCCATGTTCGCTTTAGTATTACAGTTTTCATCAATCTTCTTTTTGACTTGAACTTCTTTAATTTTTAAGAAAGTTAACTTATACATAATACATTACGTCTAATGACAATTTTTTTATTTTTACCACTCAATGTATTTTCTTTTTCTATATCTTACATTGTCATCTTAATTTTTGATCACCTTAGGTGGTGGTAAGGTGGTAAGGTGGTGGTAAGGTGGTGGTAAGGTGGTGGTAAATTTGCTTAAGATTATAAACTTCAAGTTTTAAAAATCAACAACGTTATAGTACGTCGTGTCAAATGACACACCGTTAAAATGTCTACATTTAAAGTTCACCAAAATAATGACGTAAAAACTAAATATGATATGACGTTAGCATACATATCATTCAATCTAATCACTCTAAAGTACAAATCAATAATTTTTATTGATTAAGGGGCTGGGTGAGTTATTTTTATCACTATTCGCCCTTCCCCTTCCCTTTGTCCGCAACCCCGTTCCCCTTCTCCCATCCAACCTTGCGTCATCACACTAACCTCAATACCAACCGCTAGATAAACAGACCGTACTACTACCCACACTATACCTTGGACAGACAAAGGCTGTATGACAATCCTACAGACAAATATTTATTCAACTAATATCACAACCCCCTAGAAACCACTCCAACAGACTGGGATACATAACTTGTAGACACCACTCCTCGTTGAATATCTCTTGCACCCTACCTACATCGACAACTTTGTCCGCCGCCCTCGCCCCCGTCCCTAGTATGAACTCGGTTACCAACAATTTCAAAACATGCATGTTCCGAGTTCAAAACCAACCTTCACCGACACTACTATGAACTCGGCCCCTAACACTTCCAAAACATGCCTGTACTAACTTTGAAACCACCATCGGTGAAAACTTCACCGACCCTAGTATGGACTCTACACCTACCGATTCCAAAACATGCATGTTCCGAGTTCAAAACCAACCTTCACCGACACTAGTATGAACTCGGCTACCAACAATTCCAAAACATGCATGTTCCGAGTTCAAAACCAACCTTCACCGACACTAGTATGAACTCGGCTACCAACAATTCCCAAACATGCATGTAACAACTTTCCAACCTGCCTCAGTGCTAACAAAATTCCCCGACCCTAGTATGAACTCGACTGCCCTCAATTCCTAAACATCCATGTACCAACTTTGTAACCTGCATCGGTGAAAACTTCACCGACCTTAGTTTAACTCTCCCTAACAATTCCAATGATGCATGTACGAACTTTGTAACCTCCCTCGGTGAAAACTTCACCGACCTTAGTTTAACTCTCCCTAACAATTCCAATGATGCATGTACGAACTTTGTAACCTGCCTCGGTGAAAACACCCCCGTCCCTAGTATGAACTCGGTTACCAACAATTTCAAAACATACATGTTCCGAGTTCAAAACCAACCTTCACCGACACTAGTATGAACTCGGCTACCAACAATTCCTAAACATACATGTACCAACTTTGCAACCTGCCTCGGTGAAAACATCTCCGACCCTAGTATGAACTCGGCTACCAACAATTCCTAAACATGGATGTACCAACTTTGCAACTTACCTCGGTGTTAACGAAAACTCCCCTGACCCTAGTATGGACTCTACACCGACTGATTCCAAAACATACATGTTCCGAGTTCAAAACCAACCTTCACCGACACTAGTATGAACTCGGCTACCAACAATTCCTAAACATACATGTAACACCTTTGCAACCTGCCTCGGTGAAAACATCTCCGACCCTAGTTTGAACTCGGCTGCCAACAATTTCAAAACATGCCTGTCTTAAGTTTGTAACCTGCCTCGGTGAAAACTTCACCGACCCTAGTATGAACTCTAGACCTTCCGATTCCAAAACATACATGTTCCGAGTTCAAAGCCAACCTTCACCGACCCTAGTATGAACACGGCCCCTTAATCAATAAAAATTATTGATTTGTACTTTAGAGTGATTAGATTGAATGATATGTATGCTAACGTCATATCATATTTAGTTTTTACGTCATTATTTTGGTGAACTTTAAATGTAGACATTTTAACGGTGTGTCATTTGACACGACGTACTATAACGTTG